CAAACCTTAATTTTTCTAGCACAAATAGAAAACCCTTAAAAAAAAAAGATTCTGATTGTTTTGGTTTGGGAAAGTACTCATTCTAGACCAAATGGCAATGGCCATGATAGGATCCATAGACAACAACTACACACGTGACAGCAAACTGAACATTTCAAAGTCGGGTGTTTTGTTTTGTTTTGTTTCATGGCCAGATCTTGCTGGTGACCAAGCTGGCCTATAACTTTGGATCAAGCCTCCTACATCAATGTCCTGTCTTTTAACCACTCTCCAACTACCCATTTATATAAATACTACTTAGTATTTCAGAAAAAAACTAAAATAATCATGGCTCCGTGTGCTGTGGGATGTCTTTCTGCATGTTGTGAATATGTGTTGCTCTGATTGGTTGATAAATAAAGCTGCATTAGCCTAAGGCAAGGCAGGATGGAGCCAGGCAGGAAAATCCAAGAGAGATAGTGGAGGGAGAAAGGAGAAGCAGCATATGCTGCTAGCTGCCACCAGGAGAAGCAAGATGTAAAGTACCAGTAAGCAACAAGCCACATGGCAAGGTACAGATTTATAGAAATGGGTTAATTTAAGATATGAGAGCTAGCTAGCAAGAAGCCTGCCATGGCCATAGTTTAAAAATAATATAAATCTTTGTGTGTTTATTTGGGTCTGAGCAACCGTGGGATGGGGCAGGACACAGGAAAACTTCCAACTACATCCATGCATTTCCCATTCTGTCCCCTTTGCCTCTAATGAACCATTGTCCTTTCAAACTTCTCATCCTTCAAAAAACTCAACTGAGCCGGGCGGTGGTGGTGCACGCCTTTAATCCCAGCACTCGGGAGGCAGAGCCAGGCGGATCTCTGTAAGTTCAAGGCCAGCCTGGGCTACAGAGTAAGTTCCAGGAAAGGCGCAAAGCTGCACAGAGAAACCCTGTCTCGAAAAACCAAAAAAAAAACAAAAAACTTCAACTGAAAGTACACACACACACACACACACACACACACACACACACACACACACACGCTCTTATCCTAGAGTGTATTTATTTAAAAATATGTTGTATCTTCCCCACAAGAATTCAGCATCCTACAGAGACAAAGACTCAGTAGGTTCATCCTTCCTCAGTTCCCAATGCAATGTCTTGTGTCTAGGCAGGACTCAGAAAGTGACCACTAAATGAAAGATCCTTCAGAAATGCTCACTATGTACTAACCACCTACATTAAGTAGCAATGGAGGGGGGTTGACTTTAGAACCCAACCTACATTTGCTCTCTGAAAGAGGAAGAAGCCTGCCAAGAAGCAAGCCAATGTCAACTTGCAAGTAGAAATTCCCATTCTGGGGCTGAAGAAATAGGTCTATGACTAAAGCCTGTTGATGGAACCCGTGTAAAAAATGACAAGAGAGAACTGATTCCACAGACATGTCCTTTGACTTCCACCCATGAGTGTAACAACACAGAATAACAAGGACCATAATATATTTTTAATTTTAAAGAATTCAGCTTTCGCCGGGTGGTAGTGGCGCACACCTTTAATCCCAGCACTTGAGAGGCAGAGCCAGGCAGATCTCTGTGAGTTCGAGGCCAGCCTGGTCTACAGAGCAAGATCAAGGACAGGCACCAAAGCTACACAAAGAAACCCTGTCTTGGAAAAAAACAAAAAAACAAAAAAAAAAAAAAAAAAAAAAAAACCCCTCAGCTTTCTTGGTTTAAAAAAAAAAAAAATCGCCGGGTGGTGGTGGCGCACGCCTTTAATCCCAGCACTCGGGAGGCAGAGCCAGGCGGATCTCTGTGAGTTCGAGGCCAGCCTGGGCTACCAAGTGAGTTCCAGGAAAGGCGCAAAGCTACACAGAGAAACCCTGTCTCGAAAAAAAAAAAAAAAATCATAGGAACTCAAACATAGCATGTACTGAAACAGATTTCCTTCAAGACACTAAGATGATAAGAAAATCTGCATGTTTTCATCCAATGTCGTCAGTCTAGAAGGAAAAGACAGGGAAACAAGGATCCTGGTCTTCTCCTGCTCTTCATACTCACACAATCTCAGCCTCCACTCTTCCAGATCACAACATAGCATGACAGTGCATGCCAGCACAACAAATGTTTGCAACCTGGCAGAGGGGTGAAAGAGGACAATTTCCAAAACCATTTGGTGCAGCCAGTGTTCCAAGATCAACTCACACAAAACCCAGCATTCCATTCCTATGTCACTGGCCAGGTTTGAATCTACCAGGAACTGTGCCAGGATATGCTCTGAAGCTCAGCCTGCTCAAGAAACCCCAAGACTAAGATTTCTGGTTCTAGAAGCACCTTCTCTTGTAACTGGTATATAAATTCACAAAATGTGAATTCTGTAACAGGACTCCTTGTATCTCCTAGGAACGGAATCATTCAAACCCCCAAGGTCCATGGTTTCCATAGATGCACTACTGTAGACCTGACAGGGCCACCGGTGCTTATGTATAACCTGATGTACTTGGTACACTAGAGACAATATCCAGAAGACGTGCAAAAGCCAAACATGGTCTTTTCTACGTTATGCACTCTATTTGATGGATAATAATTCTGAAGCCAACTCCTATGATGCCATAAGCTGGCCCAAGGAATTTTAGGTATTTAAAACTTTGCATTATCAGTAGGAAGATAACAATTATTTACAGAAGATTAATTATATATCATGTTATTTTTGGAACAACTTATTTAATCATTACCATAACCTTCTTTACTGTTTTATGCTCAAGTAAATGGCAGAGCCAGGACTAAACCCAAGTCTAGCCAGCTGAACCTTAAATATGCATCTTTTCCACGAAACCACACGGCTTCGTGTCTACTTTGCTCTGATAAATATCCTTTTAAAATTCAAAGAACCAAATGCAATACAGCCACGTAGTTGGGGCTGCAAAACAGAGAGTACTAGAAAAAGAAATGAACTCCAAATAATAAAATCTAGAATTAATTAATAACGGTACCTAATAGGCAAATGTTAATTCGCTCATGCAAAGGTATCCCTATAAAGTGTCAGTATGAAGGGCAAGTATGTGAAGGGTAAGTAGGAATGAGCTCTTTACAATTTTTGTGACTTCTCAGTAAGTCAAAATTATTTCAAAATAAAAGTGTATTTCAGTGCAAGAAAGAAAGAAAAAAGCAAGGAAGTTTGAAACTCAGATATTATCCTGAACTTGATAGCTATCTACCAAAGATGTTGCTTCTGGTTTTGTCACATAAGAATAGTGTTTCTGAAAGAAAGGAAAAGAGGAAGAAAGAGTGAAGGCTGGTGAGATGGCTGAACTGGTAAAGGCGCTTGCCAATCCCTGACCACTGGAGTTCAATCCCCACAATCCATACGGTGGAAGAAGAAAATCAGAGAACCGACTCCCAAAAGCTGTCCTCTGACTGCCACATGTGTGTATGTCATGGCTGGCATGTGCATGTGCACACACACACACACACACACACACACACACACACACATACACACACACAAATAAATATTTTTAATAGAAAAATTAGGTTCTGTATCAAATATCTTGGCTGACCAACAATAAAATGCAGCCTGGTAGGAAAAAAAAAAAATGAAAACCTCACCAAATTGATGTGACAGCAGGTGACCCAAACAGCTGCTTCATAATATGCTGAAATAGGCAGTTAGGACCAACTGGGAAGCAGAAACGATACAAGGCCACCCTGAACTAGAGGTTAGGGGGAAGGCATTTAACAGATTTTTGAGAAGGAGCAGCCATAGACAAATCCAACTAACTGGTCCACAGTGGCCACAGAGATGGTGACAGGCTCCTCCCTGTCTGAGTTATGACTCCAGCCTCAAACCCTGAGACCAGTCTTCCATTTGTCTGTGTTTGGCAAGGGCTGCTGATCCTGTACTGACCTCCAAGATGCCTGCACACAGAGATGGTGTTCTCCCCAGACCTATCACCTTCAAAGAGACACTATCCATCCGAGCACCCACCACCCTGGGGAAGGGAGGACCTGTTATTGGTGCACATATTTGGAGCGGTAGGTAGACTAGTGTTTGAAGACCGTTATAACGTAAGATTTAGTTCTCTTCCACATCACTTAACCAGGATAAACGTCCAGTTTCATTTTCTATATGCTTATTTGTATCAGGCTCATCTCAGTTAGGGTCTCCAGGCCTTTTGGTGACTTTTTTTTCCTTTTAATGTTTCTTACTTTTATCCTCTCAGTGGGCTGCACACACTGTTTTTGATCAGTTCTCCCCCTCTGGAATTCCCATTACGACCAATGCTTCGCCCTCAGAACATTCCTTAGTAGTGTTCTTGACCCTTGTGAATACACAGCCTTAATAAAGACATCTCAAAGTGGGGGAGGAGAGGAGTCAGGTGCTGGGAAACTTTGGAATTAGTCTCTGAAGTTTTGTCATCTACATACTGAGGGTGGTCTCTTTGTTAAAAATTTCGCCGTCCAGACCTTAAGGGCACACGATTAATATTCCTTTGGGAATCACAGGGCCTTTCTTTGAAAGAGCTGTCCAGTGTGCAGGCGACGCTAGGTAACTGCCCATTCAAAAGCAGGGCCAGAAAAGAATGTCGGTGTTTTCCGGCAGGTATAGGTGCCTGGGGGTCAGGGAGAGAGGGAAAGGCAAGGGGTGGAGTGGGAGGCGGGTGATCGACAGGGATAGAAACAGTGTCTCCTCCTCCCTCTGAATGCGAAATAGCCAATGGGGTGGCGCGGCCGGGCCGGCCGGGCGGCCAGTGCCATATAGTATGCAGCAACCGGAGGAGTCACGTTGGGGGAACAGCAGAAAGCAGCTATCCGTTTACACTACTTTGCTCTAGCAGCTATCTTAATGGTGACTGCGTGGCCTGGGGGAAACCTGATCGGCCAGATCCAGCCGAAACCGGGAGGGAGGGAGTGGGCTTTCCGGAGGGGGGAGGGGGGAGGGAGACGAAGAAGGAGGAGTAAGAGAGGGGGAAAGAAAGAGGAAAAGAGTGCGAGGGAGTGAGGGAGGGAGGAAAATAAACAACAAAAAAATGTCCTCTTCCTCCCCCACCGGGCAGATTGCAAGTGCGGCGGACATCAAGCAGGAGAATGGGATGGAAAGCGCCTCAGAAGGACAGGAGGCGCACCGAGAAGTGGCGGGGGGCGCGGCGGCTGGGCTGAGCCCCCCGGCTCCAGCCCCTTTCCCTCTGGAGCCGGGGGACGCCGCGGCTGCCTCCAGGGTAAGCCGGGAGGAAGGGGCAGCGGCGGCGGGAGCGGCCGATCAGGTACAACTCCACTCGGAACTTCTGGGCAGGCACCAGCACACAGCCGCCGCGCAGCCCCCTCTGGCCTTCTCGCCGGACCATGTCGCCTGCGTGTGCGAGGCGTTGCAGCAGGGGGGCAACCTGGACCGCCTGGCCCGGTTCCTGTGGTCCCTGCCCCAGAGCGACCTGCTACGTGGCAACGAGAGCCTGCTGAAGGCGCGAGCGCTCGTGGCCTTCCACCAGGGCATCTACCCTGAGTTGTACAGCATCCTCGAGAGCCACAGCTTCGAGTCGGCCAACCATCCGCTGCTGCAGCAGCTCTGGTACAAGGCGCGCTACACCGAGGCCGAGCGAGCGCGCGGCCGGCCGCTGGGCGCCGTGGACAAGTACCGGCTGCGCAGGAAATTCCCCTTGCCCCGCACCATCTGGGACGGCGAGGAGACGGTGTATTGTTTCAAGGAGAAGTCGCGCAACGCGCTCAAGGAGCTCTACAAGCAGAATCGCTACCCCTCGCCCGCCGAGAAGCGGCACCTAGCCAAGATCACCGGCCTCTCCCTCACCCAGGTCAGCAACTGGTTCAAGAACCGGCGGCAGCGCGACCGGAACCCCTCCGAGACCCAGTCCAAAAGGTGAGCGCCAACTTTCCTCCTCCTCCCCCTTCCTCCCCCCCCCCACCCCCCCATCCCTTTCCCAGCTTTCTTTTCCTCCAAGCGCTCGCAAACATGGCGCTTACCTTCCCCACCAGCCCGGTCTGGCTGCCCACCTCTCCCCGCCCCCCACCTCGCTTCCCTACCGGGGGGGGGGGGAGACGACGGTGGCAACGAGCGGGGGGGGGGATCCTCCCTCCTCCCCCTCCCCCTCCTGCCCCCAGAAGTTTCTGGTCGCCCGCCTAGGTCTCAGTCCCCGCCCCCACCTCGGCTGGTCACTGCTGCCCGGCTTCCCACCCCCATCCTGCTGCCTTTGAAGTTGCCACTCTCTCCTTGGTTCTCGTAGGGAGCCGTGTGTGCACGCCGGCCAGGCTGCTCTCACTGCGGCTCCCGGCCCGCAGGGGCTGCCGGAGCCGGCCGGGGGTCTCGGGCTCCTCCGGGTCACTCGGAGCCTGGTGCGCGCACATGCTCCAGGATACCCCAGGGTTCGACTGAGCCCCTAGCCTGCCCTGGAGGTCACCAGAGCCGCCCTGGAAGGAAAAGGAGCGTTAGTGGAGACGAGTGGCCCAGATGGGGGTCTGGGGACGTCGAGGCTTTAATATGACAGAGTTAATCATTCACCCTGCCCGCCGCGGTTCTCATCGCGGCTGGGGCAGCGTGGGGTGCCCGTGCAGCTGGCCTCTGCGGTGTTTTGAAACCTGATTCTGAACAAGTTCGGATCGGGTTACAGTGCTTCAGAGGTGGCAGGGCTGAAGGGCAGTTTCTTGGGCCCCCTAACACAGCATGGTTCCCTCCTGATGGGGCAGTTGGGGACAGGCGACAAGCTGGCATAAGGTGGACAGCAGGAAAGAAGTGGGGAGCTATCCACTCAGTCCTTCCGCCCCCACTCTATCCGGTTTTAACTTTATTGTCAGTGTTTTTTCCTTCTTTAGTAGAAAATGCATTTTTCCCCCACACCTTTTGTGTGTCCCCTCAAGCCAGCCCCTTGGGTGTGTATGTATTTGTGTGTCTCTGTGTGCGTGTGTATAGTGGTGGACGGGTAAAGTGAGGAAAAGGTTTAAGGATGGTGTCTCTCGCCCTGAGGGGATTGGAGAGAAAAGAATCCAAATGCAATGCAAATGTTCTACCCTGGGAAGGAACCGGCGGTCCGGGGAGCCAGCCCGCCAGGGCCAGGTGAAGGTGATCACCCTGCGCATTCCAGAACCGGCAGCAGCCCGCCCTCGCTGCTCTGCCCCTGCGCCCGCCCGGGTGGAGTCCGGAGGCCCACAGCTGGCCTCAGGCAGGAGAGAGGCTCACTGTGCAGCCCTGGCTCTGGCTCTCGGTAACCATAAACAAAACATGCCCGGTGACCTGTGAGCACCCTTCCTCGGTCTTGAGGGGCGACCCAGAGAAGGAGCACTGCTTAGGCGACGCTATCTACCCTGGAGAGCTCTGCAGGCGCACGGAAGGAATCTGCTAGGCCAGGGCACTGGGTATGAAGCCCATGCCACATGCAAGCCAGCTGTCCTGCAGACTTTGCTACGGAACCGGCCCAGTTCCCAGGATACATACACACACACACACACACACACACACACACACACACACACACACGTATCCTGAGCCATGCTCTGCTGACTTTACCCTCCTCCCCATTAAGTCCACACCCTCAACCCCCAGGCCCAATTGCCTGGTATAGGCCCCTCTCCGGATCTACCTCCCACCCGCACCCCTGGTGAGTCACCCTCACCAATGGCGACGGCTGCTCAGCCTCAGCTCGTAAATCAAAGCGCTTTCTGCGCTCCTGGCCCCAAAGCCCAAAGCCCGGGTAATCCCCTCCCCTCAGCTTGAAAGGGAACCGATCTCGCTGGGATGTTGGATCCTCAGCTGGACCAAGTCCCACCATGCTTCCAAACTGCTTCTGTCCTGCCCCGCCCAGACTCAAACCAAATGAGGAAAACTCCCACCATTCCTCCCTGACCTGAACTTTGCTATTTCCTTTAAGCCTGGGATCCTGGAATAAAAGGACTGCAGAGTCTGGGACGGAGTCTGATAGTTATGAGACCACTGAGTGATGCTCACCTTTTCCCTCCCACCTCACCAGGGCACTGGACGGTGTATGTTAAATAGGCCCCTATGGCTTCCTTTGGATTCAAAGGCAACTGTGCATATCTTGGGTGGCAAGTGTCTTTCCCACAAGGGCAACCACTTTATTGAATGAGAATTGTCAGTCTGGCGGAGTAGAAGTTTGGGAGCAGGTGAGAAAATGGTCTCTTGTTAACTAACTGGCAAAGAAAACTGAACACCTCACACCTCCTGCTCCTTTGGCAATTCCATCTACCTTCAAAATAACACTAACCTAAAATGGCTTTAGGAAGAGAACGGCTCTCCTAAACAGGGAAAAACACATTTAGTGAGTTGTTTCTATGGCAGAGGTAGTGGTCCATTTAACAATTGGAGTAGCACAGGAATTCTATGAGAATGAAAACACAGCAGTAAGTTATTTCAGTTGCATTTTACATTCTCCAACCCTCTGGTCTTTCTCTGAATTTATTATAAAAAGTTATTAGGATCTGAACTCATCTTTTCACTGTCTGGCTGGGCAGAATTTGTTTAAAACCTCTTAGTTTCAACAGGGTCAGCAGATGGGCTGTTGTGCTGCTTTGCATAAATACCTCCTTTAATGGTTTTAAGGGATGTTTTACAAACTACATAGCTTGTCATGCCCTTGACCTTCTAAACGTCTTCTCTCCCTGAACAGCGAATCCGATGGCAACCCCAGCACTGAAGATGAGTCCAGCAAGGGACATGAGGATCTGTCTCCTCACCCACTTTCGGGTGCATCTGATGCCGTCACCAACCTCAGCCTTTCTAGCCACATGGAACCGATATATATGCAACAAATTGGGAATGCTAAGATATCGTTGAGCTCTTCTGGAGTTTTGTTGAATGGAAACTTGGTACCTGCAAGTACTTCACCTGTCTTCCTTAATGGTAATTCTTTTATTCAGGGACACAATGGAGTTATCCTTAATGGACTGAACGTGGGAAATACACAGACGGTGTCGCTGAACCCACCAAAAATGTCCTCGAACATTGTGAGCAATGGCATAGCCATGTCGGACCTCTTGGGGTCTGCCTCCCAGGATGTGAAAGAATTCAAAGTTCTCCAGAGTTCTGCTGTGAACTCAGCGGCCCCCATCTCCTACAGCCCTAGTGCTCCTGTGCCGTTCCCAGGGCTGATACCCTGCACTGAAGTGAAGAGGGAAGACGTCCAGACAGTGGCCTCCCAGGACGGGGGCTCTGTGGTGACTTTTACTACACCAGTGCAAATTAACCAGTATGGCATTGTCCAGATCCCTAATTCCGGAGCAAACGGCCAGTTCCTCAATGGAGGCGTTGGATTCTCTCCTCTGCAGCTGCCTCCTGTCTCAGTAGCAGCTTCACAAGGTAAAAAGCCTCATTCGGTACCATAATGCACCAGGGCATGTGTTGGTCAGCTGCTGTAAATGACGCATTTAGTGAAAGGTATAGATGGATGTTATTTTTTCAGATACTTCATTGGTTTCCACAGCTACAGAATAGCCTTGATGTGATTCCCAGTGCCTGAAACACTCTTCAGCTTTCCTGATTTTCTTCCATCCTGAGCATGGAGTTTAATTTCCCCAAACAGAATGGAAAAGAACAGTTTATAGCAGGTCTTGCCAACTCTACAATTATAGGAATATGATAAGCCAATCAGTGCTTATGAAATAACCCGGTACTTGGCATTTTAAAATTAAAAATTAATAAAATTGCTAGGAACATGAAATTAGTCGAGCAGTTATTTATTTGACCAGAAAATGTTTTAAAAGAATAAACTAAAAGACAGAATCTGTTCTCGTTTGCATTGTGTTCTTCCTATCACTAATACTAAGACCTAAAAGAAACTTAGAAGCATATGTGATTTTTGTATTGCTCTAGATGTACGTTCATTTCTCAGCTATGTGGGTTTATATTTATGAAAACAACTGTGTCATTGTGTATTGTGGCTTTACTAACCAATGTCTGTTAGAAAAAGGAAACAAGCCTGAGGCTGGCCCACTAGTTCTTCAGGAACATGACTAAAATATAGATCACTCGTCATTTTTCTCCATCTAGAAACAGGAACAGGTAGACTTGGGCATTGAAAGTGACGTGGTCTCTAGCTCTTAGGAGCGGGAGATGGTGATCATGTTTGCCTTCCTATAAGCGAATCTGAAAGTCCCGATTTTTAGCAAAGGTTAACCTTCTGAAGCATAGTCAGTTTTTGTACAACTCCTGCTCCTCTAGCTATAATCTCCTTCAGCTGATTGGAGGCATTAATGAAAAAATGATTGTGCATTTCATTCCACATATCTGTCTCTCTTAAAGTAAGCCACCATGGTCTTGTAATCCTCTCTTCAGATGTCCATTGCTCTAGGTCATATAAAGAGTTAACCCACGTCACTATCCACCTTAGGGACAAGAGACAAATGCCCTAGAGAAAGCCAAAGAGCTTAGTTTTACAGTGATTTACAACTCTAACCCATTTTCCTTCTTTATGAAAATTTTTCCAAGTAGTTTGTAACATTTTAGACAGCAAAGTTGCGTGGGAAGTATGAGCATATACGTTGGCAGAGGAGAAATACAATAATGCTTTTCATCTGTAATCAAGAAAAGTGCTATCATAGAAAAGTATTATGAAGTAATAGCTAGGTTTTATGGTGGGGGAGAAGTGTTGTTTTCTACTTTTTTTTTCTCTTGGTTTTTCAAGACAGGGTTTCTCTGTGTAGCCTTGGCTGTCCTGGACCTCACTCTGTAGACCAGGCTGGCCTCAAACTCAGAGATCTTCCTGCCTCTGCCTCCGAGTGCTGGGATTAAAGGTGTGCACCGTCGCCCAGCAATACCCGGCAATTGCTAGTTTGTAAGTGAGATATTTACTAGGAATAAGAATAGCATTGTCAGTTAAAATAGCTAAGATCAGATGACAGGGTTGTCAACCCTTAGACTCTCTGGGCCAACGGAAAGTTTAACCAGATGGTTCCCGTAGGCAACATTCCTTCCTAGTAGTGGTGAATTGCACTTTGCAGTAAAGCATTTTGGGAATTTGAACTTTATAAAAAAAGAAATGCTAAGATAGGATATGGTGGTAAATGCTTATGATCCCAACACTTGGGAGACTGAAGCCAAGGATTGGGGGGTTCAAGGCCTACCCTGAGCTACATAGTGAGTTTCAAGGCAAACCAGGTTACATAGTAAGCGTCTGTCTCCAAAAAAAAATACCAGACCAAATCAAATCAAACTTACACCAAACATTCTTTAAAATGCCCAGAAACGTAGTCCTGTCTTCCTAGATAGCTGAAAAAGTTATGGTTACATGGAAAAACAGACTGTCTATATCTTTATTCATTTCACTTTTTTCTAAAAAAAGATTTATTTATTTATTATGTATACAGAAGAGGGTGGCAGATCTCATTACAAGTGGTTGTGAGCCACCATGTGGGTGCTGGGAATTGAACTCAGGACCTCTGGAAAAGTAGTCGGTGCTCTTAACCTCTCAGCCACCTCTCCAGCCCCATCTTTATTCATTTTACAATAAAAGAGTTTTTTTTTTCCTCTCCTAGCATCATTGTAAAATTATACTTTGTACCTGGGATATTTAAGTTCAGGGTTTTTTTTTTAATGATTTTTAAATTATTGTTTCATTTGTAACTCAGCTGCAGCTATACTTTAAAATCATGTTTTAGCCAGGCATGCTGGTACATGTCTTCCTGAAGACTAGCACGTGGGAGGCAGAGGCAGGCAGATCTCTGTGTGTTTGTGGTCAACTTGGTCTACTTTGTGAGTTCCAGGACAGCCAGGGCTACCTAGACAGACCCTGTCTCAAAACAACAACAAAATCATGTTTTATGTGTGAGGCCTTGGGTTCAATCCCCCATATTGAAAAATAAGTCAAAATTATCCTTTGGAATATATCTCTTTTTCCCTTCATTTTATGTTCGTTAAAGTTTTACCTGTACAAAATGTTAGTCTACTGTGTTTAATAGCTATTGGAGAAATGTTGCATATGGTGTTATTTATGACTCTATCAAAGAAGTAACCATTTTGTACACAGGTCTGCTAGTAAACAGTTTCACAGACACACACAAAGCGAAGTAAACATTGACTGTGGCTTTTTCCCCCTTACAGTTTTGAAGCCTACAAGACTTTTAAAACACACTTGAAGCCAAAAGGTTTAAAAATAGAAGCCGTCTGTTCATTTGTATGCCCTGAAAAACACATTTAAGTTAGAGAACAGCCCAAACATACACAGAAGTGTTTTTTCTTAACAGTCTTTCTGTGATGAATACTTACATACTAGTAATTAACTTTTTTTTTTTTAAGTTTTTTTCAAGACAGAGTTTCTCTGTGTAACAATCCTAGCTGTCCTGGAACTCACATTGTAAAACAGGCTGGCCTCGAACTTACAGAGATCTACCTGTCTCTGCCTCCTGAGTGCTGGGATTAAAGGCAAGCGCCACCACTGCCCAGCTCAACCTTTTTTAAAGGAGTTCAAATATAGTGTTTTCTCATTTTTTCTCCTGTAAAGACACTCTTTTGCTTACATAAGGTGCTTAAAAATGGTGGAAGACATATAAAAGGCCCTATGGCACTCATTAACATAGGTAGTACTATAATCACAGTTACTCTAATAATTCAAAAGGGCAATGTTGGGTGAATTACTTAATTTAATATTGGCTTGTTTTCTGCACTCATAAAGGAGTTGATTCACCTCTAATTCAAGTGCAGGGTAGATAAGTAACCCATCCTAATTCTTCCCCAGAACTCTCCTCAAACCCACCTTTCCTTCGTTGGTAATATTTGGGGACCTGGGTCATCTAATTGCCATCAATTCACTTTGTAAAGACTCACGGGGGGGGGGGGGGGGGGGGGCGGGGGGGGGGCGTTATTGGATGGAGACATGGGGTCTGCATCTTCCCAAGTCTCTCCTTTGAACATCTGTTTCGTGCTTCCAGTCTCCACAGAGAGATAGTGAGAGTCTTGAAAGACACACGCCTTTGAATGAGGCGTTAATTCCACCCTTGTGTTCTTCTGTATTTTAAAAACAGTTCTTCAGTGTTACCATTCATTCTTCCCATCACTACAACACTGAAAATTTAGAGCCAGCCCAACAAAACGCTGGGGGTTGAAAAAACCTTGAGGGCTGTGTTGACTGGAGACTGCTTTATTGGTGGTTTGGTGAAACTCTGCGACTTGTCTGGACAGGTTGATGTGGTTAACTTGTAAGTTCCAGAGAAACTCATTTTATGTGGTATTTTCCACGTTTTCATTTAATATCTTACGTCAGTAACCGGGCAGGCCTAGCAAACGTATTTTACTTTGTATCTGTGTTCTCTCGTTCTAACTGGCAGTGTTAGTGATCACTACCAACTAGTTAAGAGGTGGTAAGTCTGTGGTAAAAAGTCAGAAACTTGACAAATATTAGGACTTGGACAAGAATTTCTCCTCCTCCTCTTCCTTTTTTTTTTTTTTTCCTTTCCTTTGAGCCCAAGCTGGGCTCAAATTCAGTCTCCCTGCCTCAACCTTATCCCCAACTCCCACATACTTGCTTGTTTTGATCAGCTGGCTGGCTTTTATTTTTGTTTTAATTTTTTGATGATGCTGAAGATTGAACCCAAGGCCTGTACCATGCAGGTACCCTCACTCCCTGGGTCCTACACTTACGTTCTCTTTCATTTGGTTATGACAATTGCATGGGGAGTTAACACACAGAAGTCATCTGGCAGAGTTTTTGCCCAGTGCGTAGAAGGCTCCGAGTTCAATCCGCAGCACTGCAAAAGAAATAAAAAATATATATATAGAGAGAGAGAAAGTTAGTCTGACTGAGTTCTGAACCTGGGACTCTGCAGCTTACAGTGTCCAAACTGGATTCAGCGACACATGTAAATGTCGCCTCTCGGTTGATACTATACCTGAGGAAACATCATGCGTGTTACAGAAGTAACTGGTTTGTTTGTTTGTTTGTTTGTTTTTTCTGTATCATTTGTATTAATACCAATTGGTCCTTTTTTTCCCCCCCAGGTAATATTTCAGGAAACTCAAGCACTTCAGATGGAGGCACGTTTACAAGTGAGTCCAGCACGGTCCAGCATGGCAAACTTTTCCTGAGCCCTCTTGCTCCCAGCGCAGTGGTCTACACTGTCCCTAATTCAGGCCAGACTGGAGGAGCTGTGAAACAGGAAGGCTTAGAAAGAGGCCTGGTTTTTTCTCAGCTGATGCCTGTCAGTCACAACGCACAAGTAAATGCAAGCCTATCTCCTGACGATGTCTCCGGGAGTGGCCTCCATCCCCTGGCCTCTCCGCTAGTTAACGTGTCCCCGGCTCACAGTTTTTCCCTGTCTCCCCCTACACTACTAAATCCCACTGAGCTGAACTCTGACATTGCTGAGAGTCAGCCCCTGTCCGCACCTGTGGCAAGTAAATCTACTGGGACATCTGTCGGCAACACCAACTATGCAGCCCTTCAGAACTGTCCCCTTATTACCGGTCAAGACCTACTGTCAGTCCCTATGACTCAGGCTGCCCTGGGGGAGATTGTTCCTACAGCTGAAGAGCGGGTGGGGCATGCCTCGCCAGCGGTACACCAGGATTTTGTCAGAGAGCATCGCTTGGTTCTGCAGTCAGCAGCCAACCTAAAAGAGAATTTCCTCCAAAATTCTGAGACCAAAGCAACGAACAACTTAATGATGCTGGACTCCAAATCCAAGTATGTCCTGGATGGCATGGTTGAAACTGTCTGCGAAGAGCTGGGAACAGATAAAAAGGAGCTGGCCAAGCTCCAAACTGTCCAGTTGGATGAAGATATGCAAGACTTATAAGCCCGATTCACTACGCACATACCCCTTCTCTCCTTCATCAGCAGCAACTTTTTTTTTTTTCCTCTGTGAAGCCCTGAGGATGAAGAGCCTTTACTCATTTAGAGGAAAGCACTCAACTTGTGGGAGTATCTGGATTGATCTGCATGAAGATCATAGTTAAGCATACAGGAGTGGAACTACATTGCTGATGCCTTTTCTGTTCACATCATGTCCACTTCTTTAAATATACGGCGACGAGGCAACAAGTGAAGAGTATCAAACCACCATATATCATGTAGTCAGCAATATAATTCTAAGGTTGAAATGGAACGTGACAGTATTTTAAATTTAAACTGTATACACCTAACTTAGAAAATTAAATAATAGCTACAGGCTCTTAGAAGCAATGCGGTTGTTTTTGTTTGTTTGTTTGTTTGTTTACTTTTACTCCATGGGCATTGAGGTGGTTAAGAAACAATGGTACTCCAGATTATTATAAGGGTATATTTTTCGAATTAAGTAGCTTATATATGCGTGTGTTTGTGTGTCCATACACACATTCATCGTTTTCAGCATTTAGGGGAAAGGCTTGGTTTTAAGTCTCTACGAGTTTCCAAATGTGATTGCTGATAGATAAATGTGGCAGAGAGTTTGGAACTCCACTCAACTCTGACACAACTTGGGTATGAATGTAAATATGCCAGTTCTATAAGTAGGATTTGAGTAAGTACGGTGAATTTTTATTTATACCATGTATGTCTCTCTTAGTCTTCAGGCACTATGAACTGAAAAGAAAAATGTTTTCTTACTGTTTAATTTATATTTATTGTTTGAGCAGGAATAGAACATCTTTGTTTTCAACCGAGTTTTATTTTTTTTGTGATTTGTATCAAGAGGCTCTCAAGGTCAATGTTAACACTGAAACAGGAACTTTTAACCCCTAATACTGGAATTTTGGTACTTCTTGACATATCCTTCTTTCTTTAGAAACTTTGATTCATTTAAATATGTTTTTTATAGACTCCTATGTGCCTTTTTACCTTGTGGCCTTTTTATTAGCAGTAAGGAACAGAAGTGTTGATGGCTCTTTTGTACCATCCGACAGGGTTAAGTTTACTGCGGAACCCCTTCCTATGCAGAGGACTTAAGTGTCACTGAATGGCATGTGTAATGCTTGTCATGCAAATGGTAAACAATTAAGCTTTGATGCTCTTCATTACAATGAAAGTTAAAAAAAAAAAAAAAAGCATGGCAGACCATGAAACATCAATTCTGCAGGTTATGAAAACAACCATTTTTTTTAAAGTAAACAAAATATACTTAAATTATATTAAACAAAATTCCATCTCGTTGAAGCTTCCTTCTCGATGTTTTGAATTGGTTGGTACACCGTGACACGTGACTGTTGCCTGTCCTATGTCATCATGTCTCCATTACAGAAGCAAATCCTTTGTGTTTCTGCAGGATGGTCTCTTGTATGATGTTGTTGGCTGTGTTTAAAAGTTTTAGCAGGACTCGGAACCCAAGATGTGACAATTCAAATGCCTTCATGCCGCTAGTACAGCGTATCTCAGATTTAAGAGAGTGTGATCTTTTCAAAGGTGACTTTCAGTGTTAAGCATAAAGATGGTACCATACCCTGTTTTCTTTAAGAAGAGAGAAAGAGCTACTTGATTGCTGGCATGCTCCTCATCTGAGCCTCTCCAGGAAGGGTCACCGAGTGTTTAGCATTTGCTGTTATTACAAAGGGAACTTTCAGTCTAGATAAAGAGCCCTATGAAGAATTCCTTGCCATCATTTTGATTTAAAAAAAAAAAAAGCTTAAGTCCCATTTTTGTGAAATTGGTGAATATCCCTCAGTTTCTGAAGTATGTGATTTGGGCCGGAGGTTGTTCGCTTTGGAGTTTTTGTTTTGTGTAAACAAAGGCAGTTGTTTTTGTGTGGTCCTTGGTCTTCCACTCTGCCAGTGCTTTCACAGCGTGATTGTCCCCATCTCTCTCCCGGATGTGTGCTGGCCATGTTACTGTGATTAGTTCCATGGTCTTGTAGTATAGTTTACATAAAAATGATATTTTCCACTAGACTGCTGCAGATATCAAGAGTTAGTTATTTTAGAATACCTGTCTGGTAAGGGAAGTGGGAAAGTCAAAAAGTTATATGAGAGGTGGGTGTGGATGCGCGTGCGTGTGCGTGTGTGTGTGTGTGTGTGTGTGTGTGTGTGTGTGTGTGTGTGTGTATTAGAAAACTTTCATATATCTAATGAAAGTATCTCTTTTATTCCGAGTTCTTCCTCTTTTTCTCCCTATGAAAAAGAAAAGAGAGCACAAAACTAAATACTTACCTAGGAAATGTATTCATATTCCAACGCGATGTGCTTCTAACCTTGCAGTTACTCCAGGTAGCTATACAATCCACCAGGTAAGAATCAGCGCACATTATAAGAACTTACTGTTCTTGTCTATTCTTTCAGTAAAATAAGGGCCATTTGATATGTAGCCCGTGTATATGTGAATGGAATAAGATAAACCCCAGGATCTCCTTGCACAGAATTGCAACTGACCTTTTTTTTTCAATACCAAGGGCCAGCCTCTGAGCCCTTGGAGTCCATATGGCAGAATATCCTTTTTACATAAACAATTGCTTGAAGATGCTGCAAATTCCCCCCCCCCCCCCCCATGCTTCGGGAAGAGGAATCAGAATAGGGGTAAATAACTCCCTTGGAACATCAACCCCTGCTGCTGGCTGTGGGATTTTTGGTGTCAGCCTATCTATGCACTCTATAGCCAGAATTGGCATTCAGCTCTTAGTTACATCTAGTAGAGAGGATGGTCTAGCATTCAAAGGAGGTGCATTTTCCCCCCAAACAAGCAAAAGCACCTGTGTGTTGTACTGCGTAAATATCTCATGTAGATTTATAGTAAAGACTGACTTATATGTGTTTTGGTGCCTTTCTTGTGTTGTGAAAGGCAGGTAGATGTTATAGCCATAGATTTTCTTTTTAAAAATCCATAGTTGAATTGCACACTGACCTTAACTCTCTCTGTATGTACCCTTGTTATCCTGCATGTTAAAAAGTTGGGTTATTGGGCATGTGTAGCAGACTATCTTGCTACATTCTCAATGTGTGTGCATTAGTATATAACCACAAGTCCTTCATTCTTTAAAATGTTTTCACAGGTCACCTCATGAAAATAATTCAGGAAATCTGTGGGGAAAATAATTATATTTTACAAAGGCAGTTTCAAAGTCTTCCTAAAACTTAGGTGATAGAACCTAATGGTTATTTTATGTCTAACTGATACATTTCAATTTAATTAAATATTATCACCATATATTTTATTAATCAAAATTATATAGCATGTGACTCTTGGCTTTCAGGGTTTCTCAAAAAAAAATGTACCATTTTGTTGCATGTACTGTATGTATAGAGGCAACCGGTTGTGTACTCAGTATGGTTTTACTGTGCCTTACATGAAGAGAAACCACACAGAATGTATAATGTGGGGTGGGGAACAGAGCCTCTACTGCACTGTTAGGTGATGGCACACAGCATGTCCCAGAACATTTCTGTGCTTAATTACCCAACCAAAGAGATCTAGAGTATGTATGTTGTACTGTAATGGGGGGTTATGCCTGGACAATTAAGTGTTTTATTTGTTTTCTGAAATGATGTGAACTTATTTTTCTAAACACTATGCTGAATAAACTTTATATTTATACATACTTTGTGTTGAAAAAAAAATTATTTGGGGAACACTGTTCTTTTAAAATGTGAGTAGCCCACTTCAGTAGACAAGAAATGGGAAATGATTTTGATTTATGTATGCCTAGAAAAGCAAAGAGTGAGAAAACACAAATATTTCAGCTGGCAAAAACTTAGAAGGCCAATTGGAGTGGTTTAAGAGAGGTAGCGTGTTGGTCTTTGTACAGAATTAGGTAACTCACTTAGCTGTACTATACACTCAGAGCTAAACCATAGAGTTTATTCTTAGAGGCAGGCAATGTACCTTACTCATTTTTATCTCCCAAGAGCTGGACTCGGAATATGGCGCATAGTAGGTACTCTACAGGATCACACGGAAAGAGCCAAAGATCTTTCTATTACTGACTCGATTAAAATTGGAGCTCGGCTGCTCACCCCTAGGGCACTGCTGTTAGCCGAGTTGTGGTTATACCCCAGTTGGACAAATATATTTAGCCAGAACTGTGTTTCTGTTGAGTGGAGATGATTGAGCGTTAATCTAGTTTGGTCCTAATTTTATAATTACATAAAGTGTGGATCCCGTTCTTCTACACAGCACAGGAGATGTTTATAAAAACCAGATTGGGAACTAATTGTACAGTTCTTTTACTAATCTTGTTAAAGTCATCAAGTTAGTGTCGGGTGGAATGTCTAGACACATTCTTATCGCTCATCTCACTGGGCAGTGCTCTGTGGAGTAGTTAAACCAGTTAAGCACAGAGTGAAGTGATTACATTTCATAACTTTTTAACCAAACAAGCATTGTAAAACATTTGAAAGGTGGTTGCCCTGTTTCAACTATGTTTGTGGCTCCTCAGAAAATAGCAAATCTCAGAAAACTCAACAGAAACTCAAAGCCTTTGGCTACCTGGTTCCAGCCTGCTTCTCCAGTTTCCCATAAGAAACAATATATTTGGAAATTTGCCCTTGTGCACCCACTCCCAGGACACCTTGGTAGCATATAAACAAGATACATTCACATACTTAAAGGTCAGTTCCATAGATGTAACCGAAAAAGGGAACTGCAGGTGGGGAGTGATTGGGTGGGAGGCAGATTGGCCAAGAAAGGTCTGAGCAATAACCCTTTCAGCCTTGATGTTTGAATGATATGATTCAGAACTAAAATAAGATTCCTCCAACACAAGGGTCAGACGGCACATTTAAACTTCCGGAGAGGGAATCAGGCCTCAATTTCAAGGTTAACTTTAGGCATCATGTGGTGGATCCGCTCGGAGAGATGCAAGGGTCGCATCAAAGGCAGTGCTCTCCATCGGTGACAGATACTTTGGATTTGAGTCTGATAAGCCGTTGGTGGCTTTTAAGCAAGGAGTCATGTAATGATTTGCACTTTAAAATGTCAGTGTAACTACTCTGGAAAATGAACTTAAGGAGAACAAAAGGCAGGAACTGGGAAGTTAATGCTGGGTTGTCCTGAGATGTCTGACAGGAAATAGTCGGGAGCCCTGGAACAGCGGGAGGGCCATTTGCTCACAAAAGTCTCCAGAATGGTATGACCTCTAGGCACTCTGCTGAGGCAAGCCAAAGCCATGCTGTCTCCTGAAACCCAGCCTAGTGGATTCAGATTCCTAATGGACATCTCCAGGATGTCCCCATTCCCTAACCCTACCTGTGAACAACGACACTACCTTCTCCCAAAGTCTTTTCGCTATGTTTCAGTGCTAGGGAGAGGGCCAAGCCCTGTGCATGCTAAAGGGCTCTGTTGAGTCTCCCAGTCTCCAAGTCTGCCTTTTTATGGCCCCTCAAGGTAATTCTTCTCCCTTCCTAGGGTTTCCCCTGTTGTTTTTAGGGTTATCATTGCCCTGCTGAATTACTGCTGCTGAGTCTATCTGGTGTCCCGGTATCTGCTCCTCACTTTGGCCACATTACAACTCCACGGAGATGGAGCATTCAGAACTAGAGACATAACCCAACTTAAAGCCTCCGTGATGCTGCTATCCTAAGAAATATCACTTAAACTGGGAGCATACAATGCCCAAAGTCCACATGAAAGTGTTTCCTAGAAGCGCCAGATTCCTTACATACCCGGTCTCAAGAATTGCTGAACGTCACAGTCACACATCTCCTGGGAGGCATCGCCTCCCCCCTCCTCCCATGTAGAATGACAAAGGGCCTTTTCTGAGATCAAACAGGGATTTGTGTCTGCCTTTCTTTTACTTTTTCTTTCTAGAGATTAAGAACATTCTGAAATTAAGCTGTGCCTGCATTTCCATCATCTTTTAAAGTCATTTTACTGACACAGACTAGGAACCATGTAGTTAAAATATGATGCCTATCCTCACCCCACCCCCCACCCCCAGTGCTGGGGACAGTACCAAGGACTTTTCATATACTAGGCAAGTGCTAATACCACCGAGGCACATCCTGGCCCTTACCACCCTTTAAAGCTCAAAAGCCAATCAATACATTTAGGGATAGAGTCTGAGTGGTTCTTTGAGTCTTCAGCATTAGTGGATGGTTTTTATGGTAATTGTTTTCCTTACTGCTCCGGAGGATTTTTTTTTTTTTTTTTTTCACTCACTTCCAAGTTTGAGGCTGGGTTCCAGATGACAGACGATGCCTTATAGTCTGACAGACACGGGCAGCATTAGCCAAAAAGAATGCACTCACTAGGCCATCTTAGGCCAGTGTCTCAAAATAGCACAGAAGAGCTGTTGATACTTAAGTGTAGGTAGGTACACTTTCCAAAAACGTTTTCTGTGCATGTACCCGTACTAGTAGCTGAACCAAGCCGACACGCGCAGAATCTGTGAGAAATAGTAAAGTAAACGAACAGGTATGCATCAGAAAATGTGAGTTCCAACTCACCCTAGGACTTCGGAAACATCAGCTCATCTCTCTCGGCTCCGTTGTTTTGTGCTAAGTAGACATCAACTCTTTCGAGACTGCTTGAGATCTATACAGTGTGGAGGTATGCATGACGTATATTGGTAATGGTTTTAGTGAAAGGGTAAACGGCGCTGGTGGCTGGCGCTAGATGGGCTACCGTGGCGCTGGTTTGGTCAGCGGCGGAAGAATCATGAGTCATGGTTACCAGAGTTAGAATGGGCTTTATTGGGGGCTGGAGAGATGGCTCAGGGGTTAAGAGCACTGGTTGCTCTTCCATAGGTCCTGAGTTCAGTTCCCAGCACCCACATGATGGCTCACAACCATCTATAATGAAATTTGGTGCCTTCTTCTGATGTACTGGCATACTGTATACATGGTAAATAAATAAATCTTTAAAAAAAAAAAAAGAATGGGCTTTATTAGAGAGAAGAGGGGATGGGACAGAGAGAGAGACAGAAACTGAGAAGGCGCATGGGGGTGCATGTCGGGCTTTTAGGCTGGGACGCAGTGGCCTGCTGATGATGTAATAAGGCGCCAGCCGAGACGTCGCCCCCCCCCCCCAAGCTGGGCGAATACAGAATCCTTACATTTAGTGGAACGCATATCACCGAAGTGACAGTCAAACGAGGGTGGAAGTGCACAGCCACCAAGGGCAGCAGCAGATTTAAAAGAAAATAAGTGGGGACTGGAGAGATGGCTCAATGGTTGAGACCATTGGCTGCTCTTCCGGAGGACTTGGGTTTAATTCCCAGCACCCACATGGCAGCTCACAACTGTCTGTAGCTCCAGTTCCAAAGGATATGATGCCCTCTTCTGACCAACACAGGCTCCTACGTGCATGTGGTGCACATATATATATATATATACTCTCAGGCATACACACAGACACATACAAAAATATAAATATATTTAAAATAAAATAATTAATTTAAATGATTGCTAATGAGTGTAGCTCCGTGAGATGAAATATTTAAGGTATGCAGCTAGGCAAAGCAGGTCTGGCTTTTAACTCATCTCCCTGCGTCCCCTGTATCCACCTGCCCCTGAATGGGGCTGCCTTCCCTTGGTCACTACCCTGCTGCCCCAAATACCATAAGTGACCATCTGGTGTTGGTGCTTAGCAGTTTAAGGTGTGATGAGCCCAACACTCCACCTGGGCAGAATCTGCCTTTTGGAAAACTTTTGAAGGGCAAAGCATCAAGCTGTAGTAACGTGTGGTCGGGGTGGGTTACTAAATCAAGAGCAGACATCCCCTTTGTAAGGGCAGCAGCTGGGTAAATGGGGGAGCCTGGAGGACGTCATTCTTTGTCTGCTTCCTTCTCTGTGCACACCCCTTCCTGCTGGGTATCAAGCAGCAAAACCCAGCTTGTGGATCTTCTGAAAACAACAGTGTAGTTTCTCCCACCCCAGAGCCTAGCAAAATCCCAGAAGATTCCTGTGTTGAAAAGATAAGTCACTAACGATAATTAAAGCGTAAGATAGCTGTAGGAAAACAAGGGTTCTTTGATTCATCCCCTTCCCGCTCCCCTCCCTCCCTTTCTTCCTCTCTCCTTCAAAACAGTTGTGTGTGTGTGTGTGTGTGTGTGTGTGTGTGTGTGTGTGTGTGTGTGTGTAGGCCTTGGTGTACAGAGGTCAGAGGATAGCCTTCAGGAGCTCCTTCTCACCTCTCACTGTGGTGGACAGGCTTGCGTGGCAAGAGCTTTTACCCAGAGCTATCTCACCAGATCTTTTAATTTCTCCTTTTGAGCCCACAGAGTTCCAGATGTGTAAAGTGTTTGCCCCCATGCATGTGGCCCTATTCCAGATGTGGAAAGTGTTTGCCACCATGCATGTGGCCCTATTCCAGATGTGCAAAGTGTTTGCCACCATGCATGTGGCCCTAGAATCAATGCCAACGGCAAGGATAGGGATCGCAAGTTACATGGCTACAAAAATATAGTTTAAAAATATTTTTTACATTTTATCTGTGCATGCGTGTGCACACATGTGGAGTGTGTGTGTGTGTGTGTGTGTGTGTGTGTGTGTGTGTGTGTGTAAAACTTGCAGGAGTCCCTTCTCTCCTTCCACCTTGTGCATCAGGAACTCCAACTCAAACCATCAGGCTTGCATGGCAAATGTCCTTACCAGCAC